TCTTGAGCTCTTCTAAGAAGGCTTTTTGGGCTTCAGACCAGTTCATATTCCCTTTTGTTGTTGCAGATGTGGGTTTGTTGACAATGTTGTCCTCTTCAGAATTTCTGTCTTGATCTTCACTCTTCTCATATGAATCTATGGTATCTTTCTTTTTACTCATGGTGTTTCTTTATTCCCTGGCCTTTAAAGAGATTGAGCTCTCCTGCTGGGGAACAGAGGGCACTGACCCAAGCTTCTTGTGTTGGGAGCCCAGGTCTTGGTCACTGGCTTTGTGTGCTGGGGCCTCTTATGTTGGCAATTGGAGGCTGTAGGTTTCTGGCAGCTTACCTCGTGTTGGGCTGGAATCAGCAAGGCTGGAACTTTCAGGCAATTCTAGGTTGCCTGCTTTTCCTTTCCTTTAGCTTTCTTCAGCTCCTTTTAGATGGGTGCTGCAGGGTGTTTATCTGCCTGGGGCTCCCTGCTGTGTTGTCTCCCTTGTTTCTGCTAATGCACTGGGAGATTCCTTTGTGGTAGAGTGCAGAGGCACCTGGTGGTTTTCTGAGCTGGTTTCCAGGTTCCCCCACCCTCACTCACTGAGGCACTCAGAGGTCCAGGTGTTGGTGTTTGCCTGTTCTACCACCTGGGCTTCAGGATTTCTTCACAATTGGAGGCTGCAGGGCTCCGACAGCTCACCTGGTGTTGGGCTGGAACCAGCAAGGCCAGGGCTTTAGGAAGCCTTTGGGTTGTTTTCTTCACCTCCTTTCAGATGAATGCCACAGGGTACTTATCTGCCTGGAGCCCCTTGTAGTTCTGACTCCCTTATTTTTGCTGAGGCACTGGGAGACCCGTTTGCTGGGCTGCTGCACTGCTGCTTCCCATCTTTCTTCTAGTTCAGCTGTTCCAGGGTTTTTTTCTGGGGTGATATATTCTGGGTTTTCAGAGATTGTTAGGGGAGAGTGAGAGCGGCTACCTTTTCACTCCGCCATCTTGGCTCCCAGACTAGAGATGTTTTTTGCACCTTGACTGGATCATCATTTGTGTTAGATATCCTTTTGAACTTTGTGTCGTCTCATTATTTGGTGAGCATATCATTTACACATATTTCATCCAAGACTTTAATAAAGACATTGAATAACATAGGACCACTCACAGATGCCTAAGGTATTCCTTCTTGCAAACTGCTAGTCTGTTAATCAATAACCTCTGTGTCTGACACTATGCAAAGCACTAGGGATTCAAAGAAACACAAAAGGATGTCTCCTGCCCTTGAGGAACTCATAGTGGAAGGGAGGAGACAATTAAGTACAAAGAAGCTATAGGAGAAGTAGGAAGTAATCAACAGAAGGAAGGTACTTGAATTAAGAAGTATTAAGAATGCTGTAGAAATAGGTTCCTTTGGTCTGTCAGTTTAATAAGGCTTTCAAAAAGGGAAATAAAGTTAGTAAGGCATAAAGTTATTTTTTAAATGTTAAATTAACAACAGTCTATTTTTTCTCTCTCTTACATCCACCTCACTTAAAGAAAAAAAAGAAAGAAAAACAAAACCCTTGTAACAAATATGCATAGTCCAGCAAAAACGCATTCCTGAATTGGCTGGCATGATGAGTTCTTAAAGATGTACTGACTCTTTGTCATTATTGTTTCCTTTTCTAGATATTTACTGACCATCACTTTAATAATATATTCCCTTAGAATTTTGCCAGGAATTGTGTCAATCTCACTGACCTATAGTTTTTCAACTCCATTAAAAATTGGAACATTTCCCCCTTTCTTTAACCCCTCACTTTTCCCAATTTTAACAGTCTTTCAAAGGTCACTAACAACAGCTTAGCAATCATGACTAGCATTTTTTTTTAGTGCCCTTCAACAAAGTTAACTTGGGTCTGGCAACTTAAATTCATCAAGAATAGCTAAGTGTCCTCTTATAATCTGTACTTGTATTGAATTTTTATCCCGTTAGTCATATTTGTTTTGTCCTTTTCAGCCCAAAGATCATCCCCTTTGACAGAAACAACATTCTGCCTGTCTTTTAAAGCCCTCCTAGGAAGCCTTCTTGATATGATGAGCATTCCCAAATCTTTCTCCAAACTTAATATGGGATTTTGTACCCCTTACATATTATTTTGCTTTGTAATTTGTGGCATCATATTCTGCTACTAGTGAATAGGCTCTGAGGGTAAGGAATGTTTTGCTTAAGATTTATGACTCACTAAGCACCTAGTTTAGTATTCTATACATAATATGTGATTATTAGATGTTAATTGAACTGAATTCCAATTACTCTTACTGCTTAAAATTGGAAATAAGGATCTTAGGAGAGAGACAGGAGGATTGTGCTGGAAAACTAGATTCTGAGATGGTCACAACTTAAATATAACAACAGACTTAATTGCATGAATAAGCTGGTGTGCTACTCTTTGGCATGTGAATCCCCATGCCAGTATACACAGGGATTGACTAATGCTTAGATGTGTTATTTCATTCTTTTACTCTCTTGTTCTTTTCATGTATAGATCAATTCCCTTATTTGCAAATTTGAGCCTCCCCCACATATTCATGCATGCACGCACATATATGGGAACACATGTGCATACTCACACGTGTGTAGGTATACACACATTTCTAAGGCTTTTTAAGACCAGATATCTTTTGGCACTCTGAAGTCTATGGGTTCTTTTCTGATTAATATATTTAAATGCATACAATAGAATATGTAGTATTATAAAGGAAACCAATTATATTGAAATAGTTATCCTTTTTTTTTTAAGTTCATGCACCTCAGATTAAGACCTGCTATAAAGGAAGTAGGTATTTAAGTATAATGACAAATGGCAGTAGGAGAAAGTGGTAATGCTTAGGAGATATGGTTCTTAAAGCTATCATCTTGTATTTTGAAAAGTATTTTACTCTGGTTGTGTAGAAAACATCAATATATTGAATTATATCATCTACATTCCATTTTCTAATGTCATAAAATGGAAATCCACCAAATTCCTATTCTGATGCCTCACTGTGGCATAGAGATTCTTCTCAGTTTTTTGGAGACTCTGCCAGTGCTTGAAAAACTTTGATTCACGCTCTGTAATGGACTTTGTGTTTCTTGAAGGTCGTAAATTGTGGATCCACAGCAAGTTAGAGTGACAATCTAGTAAGTATGCTTTGGAGGTGCATGATCAGCCTCCCTGGGAGGAATTCTGACATGCATGAAGCTATAAAATTACGTTTGGATCAGGGATTGTCACTTATGTTAATTTCTCTAGCACTTGGCACACTACTCTGTTTCTGAATATTTTAAAATTTTAAGTTTTAATTAATTTTTTATTGTATCAATTTATCATTTATCATGCCCATCTTCCTCAATACTTTTTCCTTATGTATGTTTAATGTAGTAGATATTGAATAAATGTTTGAACTGACTGCCTTCTTGGTATATCAGGGTCAAGAAACAAGCTTGTTCCTGCCTTATTTGCTGTCTTCAAACTGGGAACATCATAATGATTAGGGAGAGAATGCAGTGAGAAAATGAAACCCTTATGAAGATGATGAATATGCTATCTCTAACACATTTCCTACAGGCTTTTATAGATTTTTTTGAATTTATATACTGTTTCATTTAAAGAATAGAAAGATCATGCAGATGGAGAATTAATAAAGTGAGAGACAGGGAATGTTTTCAGCTTTGGTAACACACATTACCTCATTCATCTACATAAGGGCTCAGGGGAGGCATGATTAGTAACTTCTAGTTATGGAATATTAAATTAGGTGCTCTGTGTGTGTGTTGTGTGTGTGTGTGTGTGTGTGTGTGTATTTCTGTGTATGTATGTATCTGTTGCTTTGTGTTTCTTTTCTTAGCTGTGAGGAGCACACATATTATTTGGTCATTTGGATGCTGTTGTGTGAGTTCTTGTATTTAAACGTTGTGAGGGAGCCAAACCGCAGGGTCTGGCTGGCTTTCAGCATCGATACAGGGGGGCATGTAGTTTGCCATTTGTCTCCAACTGAGAGAGTTGTGGATATAATTTATTTTTCGTAAATATCGACTGTGAAGTGAATTTATCTCCTACACATTTGTTTTGCTTTTGGTTCTTTTTCTCTGTTTATAGCATGATATCCATTTTGTTGGAGATCAGTGAGTGTCTCACTAGTTTTTTTTTTAAGGTATTTAAAATGATAGGGCTAGGAATCAACTTTATCTAATCATCAGCAATTTGTCATCATATGTAAGAAGAGCAGCTTCTGGTTCAGAAAGGAGGAACTCACCTAGCCAATGGACAGATTTGGGGGCTAGGGGAAAAGAGGGAGCTAGGAAGACTAACACAGCTATGGTGGATATGTATTGATAGTGGAAAGAGTAATGATTTGGGGTAAGAGAGACAGACCAGGTTTTATATCCCAGCATTTCCCCTTTATTACCTGTGCAACCTCAGTCAAATTATTAAACATCCCTGAGCCTCATTACCCTCATCTATAAAATGAAGAAACTGAATTAGATAAGTCTCTTTTAGCTCTAAATCTCCTATAAGCTCGTATAGACTTATGTTGGTGCATTAGTGGCCAGCTTCACCCTTCTGCTACTCATGTGTACTCACAGGTTAGCCATGTTTTGTTGCAAATGGTTTAGGGAAGGGCACTTACAAGACTGAAATGCGTCTACTTTTGCTTTAGTATGATCCATGTAAATGAGAGAAGTACAGATGTTTTTAGCATAGAGCCCAGTATACAGTAAGCACTTAATATATACTTGTTGATTGAACATGAAGAAGGAATGCATTTAGTGATTTATCTTGGTGGTTTTGATTTTTGATTGCCTTTATATGTTTCATAGATAAAACTTTAAGTTTTTTTTTTACTATTTTATTATTTAATGTAACATTTTAAACAAATAATACATTTTAATTTAAACAACATAAGTTTTTGTTTTTACAATACAACCACTTCTGGGTATAGATAGACATTCTCCTCTCCCCTCTCCCCCAGGCCCCTTAAAACAGTGAAGCAAAAACAAATGATACAATTACCTCATCTGATGATACAGTACAGGTAACATTCTGTCCTTATAATCTCCTGCCTCGATGCTGAAAATAAAGCTATGTTAATTATCTGTTCTTTGGTTATTACAATTACCCAAAGACTGACTTCTTTTTAGTATTAATTTCCTTTATTGTTGTCATTCTGTATATATTTTGGGTTGTGATAATTTCACTTAGTTCATCCCAGTCTTGCTGGATACTCTTTTATTTAAAGGGAAGGAAAGTTAGAAACTTGAGAAGGTAGCTTGGCTATACAGTGGAAATGAATGGAAAGCATTTATTAAGTGTTTATTCTGTGCAAAGCTCTGAGAAGACCAATAGAAAGAAAGCAAGACAGCCTCTGTCCTGATACAGCTCCCCTTCCAGCTGGAGAGACAGCACATACAGGAGGTTTCAGCTACATGATACATGGAAAGGCACAGTGGTCCTTGGGGTGCAGCAGCAAAGCAGATGGTAACATGTCTTCTTTAGGATCATGTCCATTCATAAAACTGTACCAGTTTCTTATGTTGAACAAAATTTGATAGTTGCAAGGACTTTGATCCCCACATGATCCAGAAAGATTAAATTTCTATCAAGATCAACAGAAATTTCAGTGGAAAATAAGCAGTGTATGTGTGTAAAAATAAGATAACTTTATATACTTTGTCAGCTAAAATATACATCTGTTAATAGCTGTACAGAGGCTGAAGGATGATCTAATATTCTTCATCTATTTGAAGATTATTATATGGAGACTGATAACAAGTCACTTGTCCTCTCTGAGAGGAAATGTATTTAAACAGCAGAAGGGGAAAAGGAATTTGTGTAAATGATTCTTTTCAATGTTTCAACGGTGTTTGTGTATGAGAAGCAATTATCTTTCCCAGGACAAAAATAGGAGTTTATACTACTTTATTGGTAGAGGTAACTTCTTGATGAGGGAACTCTCCCTCTACCAGCCACCTCTGCAACTCAAAGTTTTAGAGAGTTGCCTGAAGCTCTTGACCTGTTAAATGAATTATGTTGGGTCAGACAGCCATTATGTGTTTGAGGTAGGTTTGGATCCAAATCTTCCTGACTCTGAAGCCAGTTGTTTATCCTCTGCATCACGCTACCTTTCCTCTTTCTGAGAAATCTTTAAAATCAAAGGTGTTTGGGTATGGATATACCTCTGCTCAAGAGGATGGAACTTGAAGTTCTTTCAAGACCAGTCAAATACTGGGCTTTATCAGTCTGGATTAATTCTTTTCATAGCCAGGTATTTCTTAGAATTTTTCATTTGTTGTTAATGTAATTTCTTTCCATATGTCTGTGTGTCACTCTGTGTCTGTCTTCTCCTCCCTCCCCCTCTTCCTCATCTCCCTCCACCTCCACCTGTGAACTCAGTAATTTTCTCTAATGGGAACTTTATAATATTTCATCTCATTAAATTAGAAAAAAACAATTCTGAAAATTCCATTGGTAAAGTAGTACTATTCACTCATGAACAATTTCCATAAGAAAATTTATGCCTTAGACTTTGCTGGCACAGTTAATTGAATAACAATTCACTTCTAAATCAGAAGTGAAATTATCTTTTAAGATGCTAAAACTCAAATTTATAGCGATAGCACTCTATTTTGATGTAAAAAATCACAATTTTTAGATATTTAATAATTTTTTTCTTAGATTTTTAACATCTAAACCCAGGCATGTAATTTGTATTTTATTGTGTATGAAATTGTGTCACAAGTAAATAGCATTTGGAGACAAAAATTGACTGCAAAATATTACCTGCCCAATACACATTTTTTGTAAGGGGACTTTAATGGAACATAATGCAATTTCTAAAACTGAAATCCAATCTTGCTGGCGCCACAAGTTGTCATTATCTCAATGCAGGAGCAATATAGTTCCAATCAGAACAGTAGGAAATTGAGGAATATGTTCGTCAAATTGGGATGAAGTTCATTTGATTAGAATTTTATAACCCAAGCCATCTTGTTACAGTCATAGTGGAAGATTTCTGGAGATCCAGGCTGCGGGACTGCCCTATGAAGAAACCTGTTTGATATTTCAGGAGCTAGGAAACTGTTCTGTCTTGTGAGTCAGCCTGACTGCTCTTTGGCTGAATTTCACTCTCTATCAAATAGAGACTTTTACAGAGCTTCTAACTAAGGGACTCTATTGGAATTAAAATGCTAATAACTATAACTCTCCAATGAGATCTGAGTGATACTATATCTGTACTTGGTACCTTGAAAGAAGGGTAGCTAGGTGGCACAGTAGATAGAGTGTCATGCCTAAAGTTGGGAAGACTCATCTTCTTGAGTTCAAATCCAGCCTCAGACACTTACTAGCTGTATGACCTTGGGCTAGTCACTTAACCCTGTTTACCTCAGTTTCTTCATCTGTACAATGAGCTGGAGAGGGAAATGGCAAACTGCCCCAGTATCTTTGCTGAGAAAACCCCAGATGGGGTCATAAAGAGTCTGACACAACTCAAAAATGGCTGAACAATAACAAATATGTATTTCATCTACAAACCATCGATTTCCCAAACTCCTCAAGGTAATTTCCTTTTCTTTGTTTCTGTCTGTCTTTGTAGCCCAAACACCTATCAAAGTGTCTAATATGATTTTTTTTTTGTTTGAGATCCTTGTGGGTAACTTTCTCTGCTCATGAAGATCAGCACTTCTCTACAATGTAAAGTTTTAGAGAGTTGCCTGGTGCACTGAGAGATAGCTTTCCCAGGCTTACAATTTGTCAATGGTTGCTAAAATCCATAAATGCCTGATAAATGTTTACTGATTTGTGAGCATTGCTATGTAGAGTAAAGTTAAGTGGCTGATACCAGACGTTGTCTGATCCCTCCTTCCTTAAGGAAAGGGATGGACCTGAAACCTTCCTATTTCCTCCTTGGTGTGATTTAGAGTAAGAATTTTTTCCCCTCTGGTCACAGCCTTTTCCCACTGGAGAGTCAGTCACCTATACCCTATTACATCAATTAGCTCAATTTAAGCCTGGGACAATGTAATTAATGGCCTCAGGTATCTGTGGTTCCTTCTCTGATGTTTCATGGCTATTATCAATAGAATCATAATAATTCAGAGCTGTCCAGTTAAGAGGAAAAAAATCTCTTAACATTTGGCTTTTTGTCACAATTTGTTCTGTATATTTCTAGCTAACTTTCTTTCTTTTCTGACCCAGCTCAGCTTCTCTCTCTCCCTGTCCCCTTCTCACTATTGTTCTTGTGCTGCCCTTTCTCTCCAGCTCAGCTGACGTCCCGGGCAGGATTGAAAATGCCAGCATCCTCCACTAAAGGCTGCCTCTCTGCTCATTATAGCTTCTGCTCCTACTTTGCAGTCTGCCCTCTCACAGATTGTGTGTCTTTTTCAAAACTCCAAAGGAATGACTGAAATCTGCCTTTCACTACTAAGATTTTGATCATCCAAATAGCTTTCAGGAATAAGAGGAAATGCTTTCTTTCTGCACTACAAATCCTAGATGCCAGTCAGTTCTCAAAACCCTATCACACTTGAATTAACTAATAATGGCATTCAGTCTAGTCCTTCTAATAAGTGAAAGTCACTTTAACACACACACACACACACACACACACACACACACACACACACACACACACACCCCTCTCTGGGCTTTAATCTATTTTTAAAGGAAACAAATAGTTTATGTTTCCATATTTACCACCATGTCTTTTGCAACAATAGCAATTTTTGAATAAAATATAGGATCTGTGGTTAGCCAACGAGTGTTTTGCTATGAATTGATTGGGGTTTTTCTCCCCCTTTTTTAGATAGAGAAATTGGAAGCTGAATACTGTGCAGTTTAAGTATAAGGCATATAGGATGTTTTTGGGTAGAGTTTGAAAAATATAGCCTTGTTTAGTCTTGGCTTCAAGTGCTAGGCTTTTCCCAGTGGACTGTTGCAAGTTCCCTATGGTTTGTTGGCACTAACTTTTATTGTCCAGAACTTTAGTTCTATTAAAGAAGTTTCTTAGTTTATAGGCAGTTTATAAGTAATCACAGTTTTTATTACATGAGTTCTATGTTAACCTCTGCGAGAATACAGTATCTGTTTTAACTTCCCTTCTAATTATGTATATAGAATGAAGACACATTTCTTGGTCTTTACATTTTCTAGATAAGTGTACACATAGGATTTGTGAGAAAAACAAAGATTATTGATTGTTCACAGCCAGTGTCCACTTTATAGGTGGTATATAGCATCTCCACTGGGACTGGTAGTGACCCAAAATTTAAAGTAAAATGAATAACACAACTGCAGCAACTTTTCAATAACTGAAAGCCTTGATGAATGTTGGTATCAGTTTAGCTTCTGCGAGCACATTTAGATGACTCCTAGAAAAGAACTTTTTTAAAGTGCAGAAACATTAACAGTTTATTCTTTGATGACTTGACTATGGTTACCATTAACTGTAGGTAACAATTATTTATGTGTATACACACAGACACACACACACACATAAATTTACATATATGTACACACACACATATATACGTATATACATATATGTACGTACATACATACGTGTGTGTGTGTGTGTGTGTGTGTGTGTGTGTGTGTGTGTTTATATATTTGGCTAAGCAATGGGGTTAAGTGGCTTGCCCAGGGTCACACAGCTAGTAAGTATTATGTGTCTGACAGGTCAGATTTGAACTCAGGTCCTCCTGAATCCAGGGCTGGCATTCTACCCTATGGGTAACCTTTTTAAAAGCATTTATCACTGCAGTGTTAGTCTGTCTCATTCTTTCACTTTTTTTCTTTTTATCTTACAGTAGGATGAGAGGGCAGGAAGTGATGCTTAGAGATAATTTCATGCTTTACTCATTCAGTCTTCATGTAGGACTCTTCCTAAACTATGACAGATAGATAATTACCTTACTTTTGAAGATTTTTGCAGCCAATTCATTTACATCTGCCCTGAATAACTCCAGAATATCTAGCTGCCTTCATATTCAGAAGGTTTTTATCTGTACTGTAAAACTCTGCTTTTGCAATTTTATCCATTTCTTGTTAAGGATTGGTATCAATGGAAAAAT